AGATTTGTGCTCTCAGGTGAGTGTGTGGTTAGCTAGAAAAAGAAAAGTGACATGACACTTTTAAAACCAGAGTTCCTGGCACCATGCCCTGAGTTTACAAAAAGTTTCAGGCTGTATGGCGACCACTCTGCATGCTTTGTTCCTCTGGAGCCTGCACAGTGGTTTTCTTGAGGACAGGCCCAGATCCTGAACAGCTCTGGGCACAGGCTGGGGCCCCATGAGAGGCAGGCATAGAGCAGCATCTGGGCACAATTGCCAGCTGAGCCCGTCCACCTAGGGCTGAGGGGTTGATGTTAATACTCTGTGGAACATCAGGCAATATCAGTGACCTCTGATTCAGCCCAACTGTTGCTCACCCCTGCACTTTTGTCCATAGAGAACCCCCTTCCTCCCACTATGTTGGACAACAGTCTCCCCTACCCAAGGCACCACATGTCACCCTGTTCTTTGAGAAATCAGGTGGTGGGACATGGGCATGCACAGAGGCTCCAAGGCTGAAGGTCCTTTTCCTGGGCCGGCAGCACTGCCAGCTGCAGCAGAGGGTACTACCTGGAAGGGCCACCACCTGCCCCTTCACAGGGATGGTCTAGACCAATGTCATCCAGTATGGTAGCCTCTGTCCACATGTGGCTATGGAGCACTTGAACAGTGGCTAGTCCAAACTGGGATGGGCTGTGTGGGTAAATTACACATCAGATTTCATAAATTGAACGCCCAGAGAAGTTGTTTTTAAAAAGTCATTGATATTTTTGTATTTATTACCTGTTAAAATACTATTTTGTATGTTGCTTAAATAAAATATATTATTATAACTAATTCCACCTAGTCTTCTTACTTTTTAATAGGGCTACTAGAAAAATTTTAATCGCCCATGTGGCTCATATCATACTTTATTGAATAGCACTAGCATAACTCTGACTCTCAAAGTCTGGCCCCTAGGCACAACCCAGGAACTTGGTGGAACTGCAAAGCTTCAGCCTCTCCCCAACCTGAGTCAAAACTGTGCTGGAACCCAGCCACCTGGGTCTTAAGCTGCCCTGCAGGGGATTCTCCTCAAGCCTGAAAACAAGCCACCAGTGTAGACCTGCCATAAAGGGAGTAGTTTCCCAGCAGGAACCTCTGGGGAGATGCAGCCAGGACGGTGGCTCTGAAGTGGCCGCCCACTTGGGTGCCTCTCAGGCAGAGGGGCAGGAGCCAGGGAAGAAGGAGGACCAGGCCCTGGGAGAGCCAGCCTCCATTCAAAACTGCCTTGGAAGCCCTGGAGACTGGTTACATAACCACCCTGGGATGGAAAAGAGGGACTGTGATATTGGTGGTGGCTTGTGGGGCCACTGTTAAGATCAAATGAGCCGACACACTGGAGACATGTGGCATGCAGTCAGTGCTCAATAAAAGCTAGTTCTCAGCAGGGGAGGGGAAGCAAGCACAGACGCCCGACAACGAGAAGACCTGAGTTCTCCACGTTATTCTAAAGGAGCTCATTTTCCTCCCACTTTAAGGATTTCTTCCCGTATCATTCCAGTGTTGGTCTCCAGTATGCCCATTCCCACTCTGTCTTATACAGTTGGAAGCTGCCAGCATAGATACCACTAGATTGATCCAGAGCTTTCTGCCCAGGAAGCCGCCTGGAACATATTGGGCACATTTGCAATGTTACCTCTTTTTTTTTTTTTAAATACAGTAATCCTGCTGATAATCTCTGTTTTCCAGTGAGGCTCAGAGAGGTTAAATGACTGCCCTAAGGTCACACAGGCCAGACTGGAACCTGGTCTCCAGAGTCCTTACTCTTCTAGTCAACCTCCAAACATCTGCAAGGTGTAAACGCAGGGTACCTTGGGGAGCTGGAGGCTGTGCACTCCCTTTACTGACGTGGCTGTTGAAGTCATGGACAGAGGGCTTTTCCTACTGTCAGAAGAAAAGGGTGGCCACTCAGCGTCCTGGGGGCAGTTGGACACAACTGAACAAGGTACAAGCGATGCTTGGACAGGGGTTTGAAGTGCTGTTACGACAGGCTGATATGCTTTGGACCTGGTCCTGGATGCTGAGCCACACGGAAGCATTGGCCCTGAGGGTCCAAAACTAAGATGTGTGCCTTTGGCAGCAGCAGCTTCTCTAGGAGCCTAACCCAGGCTGCTGACAGGAGGCCAAACTGGGCTGGGGAGGTAAAGTGGGAAACTGGCAGGGCAAAGGGACCCGAGGGACTGCAAGGCAAGGAGTCCTGCATTCCACTCCACGCAGGTGCTAAAGGCAGCTCTCCCCTCCCTGGGCATGAGTTCCTATCTGCACAACCACAGGGCAGTTGGGGGGGGGGGGGGGGGGGGGACTTAATGCCTTAAGCGGCACAGCAGGATGGCCACAGCTGGGGCTCCAGGGTGGACTGCCTGGATTCGAATTTAAATAATGGCTGTGTGACATTTGGCAGAAAGTAACCTCTCTGGAGTTTCTACATCTGTAGGCTGCCGGGAGGTGTGATCACAGCACCTGCCTCCAACTGTTACTACAGTGTTAAGGGAGTGGATAAAGCAGCACTTGGAGAAGAGTGCCTGGCATGTGGGGTGCCAGCCACCCACTCTTATCACTGCCCAAGGAATAGTGACTCCGCCAGCCCCCTTCTCATGACAGTGGCACTCTGCCCTGGGCAGGAGGGGCACACAGGGTTGCTATCAACTGCTTCCCAGCCAGACTGGCAGCCCCAGTGGCAGGGCCTGGCACCTCAGGCTGTCATACCCCTCTCGCAGACATAGCAGCAGTAGAGCCACAAGCCAGCTCGGGAGCAGATCTGGCTCCAGCTGAGCCTTAGATTCTCTCCTCCCTGCCTGGGGCCCTCAACTAAGATATTTAATCTCCATGTGCCCCGGTTTCCCCTCATGTGACAAAGGGAGAAGAAGAGGGCTGTCCCGAGGGTCGAGTTGAGCCACGCTGTGCCACCTCTACAACCAGGCCTGGCTCACAGGCCACACTCCACAGCAGGGCTAATGGCAGCCCCCACACAGAGACAGCCCAACAGGGTCAGATAAGACACAAGGTCCTGGGTCCTCGCCAGCCCCACTTAGCACAGAGGTATGAAGAGTCCAAGAGGTGACGAGAGGAAAATTCTGAGGTCCTACATTAAATTAATAAGGGCAGGAAGATGGACCAGGGAGGAGACAGGGAGTGAATCAGTAAACAATGTGGGAGAGCAGGACTCTGACTCTGGTCTCTAAACACCAGAATCCACTTCAATCGACAGGAAAAGACCTTCCTCAACTATTAGCCTCAACCAATCCCTAAGTACCAAGCATTTGTGCTTAATGGACCACTCGCCAATGCCAGCCCACCCACCGCTGCCTTCAGCTTATCTCCGCTTTATCAATAGCCAACCAAAGCTCAGTGTATACAACCTGTGCCGCCCGGACTGCATTACCAGGACCCTCCCTCCCGAGTGAGGCTACAGCCTCTACCCGGCCAGCCTTGCTGCTGGTGGCTGCACAGCTCTGCACCTGAACCTGGTCCCTCCTGTCTTCTGTCCTTCATTTCTTTAACAGCTCAGGAAGCTCTTTCACTTCAGAGAACTCCTGACCTCAGAATTTCATCTTTGACAGGTGCAATGGCTCACACCTGTAGTCCCAGCAACTTGGGAGGCTGAGGCAGGAGACTGCAAGTTCAAGGCCAGCCACTCCAACTTAGCAAGACCCTGTCTCAGAAAAGTTAAAAAAAAAAAGACTGGGGATGTCACTCGGTTCTAGAGTACTTGCCTAGCATGCACAAGGTCCTGGGGTCAATCCCCAGCATAACACACACACACACACACACACACACACACGTTTCGGTTCCTCTGCAACCAGGTTCTACCTAAACTTCAATGAGCAGAGGCTGAGCCCGGAGACCTTAACCCCTCCATAGGCCTAGCGCAGTCTAGAGCCGAGGCCCCCAGTGAGCAAGGGAGCCTGTGGAGGAAGAAGGCTGGGGGCCACCCCTTCCCCTGTCCCCTCACCCCACACCAGCCTCCCGGGTAGTCAGGATCAGAAAAGAGGCAGGAGGGGGTCTGTAAACAGTCACATTGTTGGCATAGTCCTGGGGACAAGCTCTCAGTAGTCTCACTGGCCCCCAGCCTGGTGGCCCCTGAGTAGGGCTAGAGAAATCAGAGGGTCTTTGGGGTTTCAGAGCAGGAATGGGGATGGAGATAACAGAGGTGGCCTGATGGTCCTGACACAACCCTGTAAGTAGCAGGGCAGGGCCCCCCACTCAATGGCGCCCAGGTGCTTGGAGAGGTTGCAGGGGAAGCTCTGCTCAGCATGGGGTCCTTCTGTCCCAGGAGCAGGAGAGGACAGGCTTCAGGGCTGGAGCAGGCCAGGAACTATCCTTGGAGCACCTGCAGGTGCTTAGCATGACAGTGACGTCCAGATGACCAGGGGACTTCACCGGTGCCCGCTGGCTAGCTGTCTCCTGAGATGGCTACTCACTTCCTCTCAAAGGGCCGACATGGCCACAGGACACCCGGGATCTGTCCACATGAGCAGCTTCTCTTTGCCCCACAGCATGCGTTCTGTTCTCTCCAGTGCCTTGGACTGTTGGGCCACTGGGCCATGCTCTTTGGACCACGATCTCTGAGCCAGGCTCCAGCTGGTCTGGCACCCTCTGCTCCTGCACTGCTGGACAGGCCCTCTCCTTCAGTCGGCCAGAGGTGCCTTCATTCATGCAGTCATTAAAGGACGGTGTTCCTGCTGCTATCTGGAGACTTGGAAGTAAAAAAGAGCTCTTCTTGCCCCAAGATCACACACTGGCAGACCACACCGTCCCAACACACCAGCATTAAGTCTGCAGAAGGCACACGGCCAGGGACACACAAGGGCACACGTGCACTGCAACACCTCACACAGGTCCAACAGGACAGCTAGGCAGATAAGGCCACCTCTTGGGACACATCCACACCACCCTCCCCGGTTAGATACGTGTGCATAACCAGGCGCACACTGGGCTGCCTGCCGGCTGGATGGCCAGGCTGGGTAGCCGAGGCTCGGCTATGAGTAAGGGTCTTCGTGGCTGCACACGACGCCCGCGTCCTCTTGGTGCCCGCAGTTGTGCGTGCCCACACCAGCGTGCGCGCACTCAAGGAGGTTGCGCTCGCTGCCTGCGCAGCGCACATCGTCCAGAAGGATGGGTAGCGTGCGGCCCTCGCCGAACTCCGCACGCTTTGCCGCGCGCACTGCATGTGCAAAGCCCAGCTGGTGACACACAACCTCCGCGGCCTTGGTATCCCAGGCATCGTCGCACACGGTGCCCCAGCGTCCGCCCACGAACACCTCCACGCGTCCTCGGCCGGAGCTCAGTCCTGCGGGTCGCACCAGGCGCACCGCGCCGTTGGAGGGCGTAGGGTCCGCGGTGCTCGGCCGCCCTCGTCGCCGTCCTCCGCCCCTTCGGCCCCCTGGCCGCCGGGTAGGCCTGACCGGCCGCGGGGTGGGAGTGCGCGGAGCGGCCGTGGGACGGGTCCTGCGGGGCGCCTTGGTGGGCCGTGGGGTGCTCTCTGGCGTTCGGATGAACTCTGAACAGAAGAAGGGCACACGGTCAGAGGGTCCCCTAGCCCGGCTCATCTCCCACCTGGCTGCCTCCAGGTGGGAAGGTGGACCTCAGGGAAAGATGTCCTCCGTCTGTCCCCCACTCAGACCCTGAAGATAGGGTGCTTCTGAGGGCACTAGGGGTGCTTTCTGGGTCACCCAGGCCCCATAGGGTGCTAGATGCTTCTCCAGCCATTCAGCACCAATCCCGGGAGCTCCCTGTTTTATGACTGTCTGCCGCTGGGTTCCCGCACCCCCAGCCCTGCCCTCCTGGGGGGTACCCATGCTGTAACCTCTGGGCCTCGATGCAAGCAGTGCTGGGGTAGAATTCTAGGAGCAAGGGACCCTTGTTGCTTCCAGTCCTGGTTTTAGGGTGGAGAACCTGAAGCCACAGAGGGGCATGGACTTCTGAGGTCTAAAGCAGTAGGTGGCCAGCAGGACAGGAACTGGGCCCATACACAAACCCTAAGGTCAGGGTGACTCTCTCCTCCAGGTTCTGAGGCGCTGGCCTGCCACTGGCACAGAAAGCTGGATGGGAGCTCTCAGGGTGTGTGACTGGGCCCACACGGATCACAGCTGGGGATGGAGGGGTCAGAGCAGGAACAGCCACCCTGTCACAGGGCCTGGACACCATAGGTCTATGGGGGACTGAGGTTGGTGATTCTCTTTGTCCTGAAGGACATGGGACATGTTGGGCCCAGGATGGCCATGGGAATAAACTTCACTCTACATCAGGCACTGTACTCTGTCTAGCCCTACCCCCTGCAGGGCCAGTGCCAGGCAGTGGGCACTGTCCCCTGTGACAGCCGTCAGAGGAGGGCTGAAACCCTGACTAACACAGTTACTACGGGGAGAATCCTGGGGCCACCAGGGCACATCCCGTTGATCCCGCCCCACCTTGGCCAGTTGCACTGTGAAATCCATGGGGTGGGGGAGTGCTGAGAAAGTACTTCTTGGAACAAGGACAAGTGCAGGCCAGGCCCAAGCACCATGACATGAGCAAGGGGCCCCCCCCCCCCCCCCAGCACCAGCTCTGCTCCATGCACTCCTCTGCTCCATCCAGACTGTCCTCAGGCCCAGCCTCTCTGCCCCCTGCCCCTGAGCTCTCCTTCCTTTTCTCTCCAGTTCAGGAACCGCTACCCCCACCCAGTCCCACACTGCACTGGGCAGGTCCCCACAGGATCCGGACACATTCTGCACTAAACGGCTTCTCTGTCCTAGCCAGGACAGGGCCTGGTCTGACTTCCTCTTGGTCTCAGCACCCAGCACAGAGTGGGTGACTGAAGCAAGTGACAGAAACGGCTGAATGTGTGGATGAAGGCCTGCCACACTCAAAGCCACCTGCTGCTGGGACCCCTGAGCTCCACCCTCCTGCAGCCGCCTCTGCCCAGGCGCCCTGCCCTGCCTTCCTGCTCCCCACCTGGCCCGCACTGGCACCCTGCTGGCAGCCCCTGCTAGTCCCTCGGGCTGCACAGTGATTCTTGCAATTCTGAGTTAGTTGCCAGCAGTTTCAAAGTGTAATCTGAGAAGGCAAGGCCACACCTGCCTCTCTCTGTATACCTCCATGGTGTGGGCAAAGCACAGATCATCCGTGGCTGGATGGAAAGCGGAAGGTCTGGTAATGGGGGGCCTCTGTTTCTACCCAGCTAGGGCCCGGTGGTAACCCCTCCGGCAGAACAGCCTTTCTCACAGCCCCAGGCCCCTCAAGCCACGGAGGATTGCTCATCCCACTGTCCCTCTTCACCAAGCAGTCAAAGGGAACCATCTTGGAAAGCCCAGCCGAACACCCCACCCCAGCCTCCCCTGCTCACACACAGGTGTCCTCTCTGTGTCCTCCTAGAGGACTCTGAGCATACCTTGCCTGGCACAGCTGTTCCTCCCCTGGCTGTGCCCTTCCTGAGGCTGCAGCCCCTCGGACCACCTGCCCATAGCCTAGGGCCTGGTCTAAGGAGTTGTGGCCGGTCCAACAGACCACTCTAAAGTTCCTTCCACTTTACCTGTGGAAGTATGCCAGGCAAGCTGCTAGGCAGAGGGACCTAGAGGCCCCACTAAGGGGCCCCAGCATCTGACTTGGGGGTCTGCAGGGTGCAGACTGCAGGAGCTTCCCTCCCCCACAGAGAACCATCAATGGGCACTTACTTTCTCTGGGCACAAAGGGGATGAGGCGGCTCCTCACCTTCACCTGGGTGGGATGGATCTGACACTTGCCGGGTGGCGCTCGTCTGCCAACAACACACAGGAGGTCATGAGGTCCCACCCTGGTAACTCGCCTTAAGCGTGTCCACCTGACACCAGCCCTTCTCGTGGGTGGTGGCAGGGAGGGCAAGGGCCATGCAGGTGTGGACAGGAATAGCAGTAAATGGTGGCCAGTTATTGAGAACCTACTGTGTGCCCTGCAGGACCCTGGCACTCTCTGTGCCCCCAGGATTCTAAGGGCCCAGCCTCAGGACACAGGCACCAAGGTAGCCCACTGGCACCTGCTCAGTCTCTACCTGCAGAGCACTAGGTAGTGCCAGAGGCTCCCTCTCTCTGAGCCACTTCGGAGTCAGAGGTGGACCCCACGCCTCATCCCCCACCGGTGGAATGCCAGACTCTTTTCTCCCCACCCCGCCGCTCTGACACCTGTTACCGTGCCCCATTCTTGCCTTCTACCCTGGCCCTCCAACCCCCAGACTTTGAGGATGGTCTCTCCGGCCTCTGGTGTCTGGATTTCTGGTGATGCCCAGCCTGGCCAAGGAACCTGGGAAAGGTCAAGGCTAAGGGGTAAAGCGGGGAGGAGGAGGGAAGCAAGCCTGAGTGGGTGCCCAGGGCCTGGGGCTGGAGAGAACGGCAAGAGAGCCGTGTGCCAGGGTTGCCAGGGTATGAATGGGTCTCCTTTTACATCCTTCAGGGGCACAAGGAAGGAACGGAATTCCATTTTAATTAGTTTTTGGCTGTTGATCTGTGATTCTTTGAATGGTACCGGCCCTGTATTCTTTGAAGGGTACCGACCCCATTCCCAGAGTGCCCCACGTGGGCCCAGGACTTCAATAGGGTCCCGTCAGCCCGGGGTGGGAAGCAGCCACGTGAGGGGCCTCCAGACAGGCTTGGCAGAAGAAGGGACACAGGCTTCTCCCCCAGAGCTGAGGAAATGCAACTGGCACACACGCCCTCTTCGCCTCTCTTCTGGAAGCCGGAGGAGCCGCAGGGCTTCCCTCCAGGTCATGTCCACACACTTCAGTCAGGCCCAGCTGGGCTTTTGTTCTTTGAGGAAATTATATTTTAAAATCTGTTACGCAAAAGGATGGGAGTAAGCCCAAAAATGCCACCGTTTTATGTCTGGGCACGGTGAGGTGACGCAACCCCACCCCCTCCACTACTGGCTCTTCATTTTCCAAATGTTCAGTGCCGGACCCCTCTGGAGTCCGGGTGGCTGCAATGAAATACATTTAGCCAGCCCGGCGCGGACGGAGGTGCACACCTGTAATCTCAGAAACTAGGGAGGCTGGGGCAGGAGGATTCCGAGTTCAAGCCGGTCCTGGGTAACTTCGCAAATATAAAAAAAAGGCTGGGAATGTAGCCAAGTGGTAGAGACCCCGGGGTTCAATCCCCAGAACCAAACAACAACAGCCACAAAACATATATTCCAAGAGAGAAAAATGGAAGGGCAAGGGGTCAGGGAGGAAGGGAGGAGTCTACCATCTGGGCTCCTCCTAACCCTGAAGCCCGGAGCTGGGGAAGCTGCTGGGTCTCTGCAGGTTCCCTCTCCCTCCACAGGGACAGTGAGCCAACAGAGAGAGGGTGTTGCAAAAACCGGCGGAGATGACGCCTTTAAGGCAACATGTGGCAGGAATTAGGCACCCAATATATGTGATATTTCCTCAGAGAAACATTCGTCTTAAAAAAAAAAAAAATGGAAATAACCTCAATTCCAAGGAATTGGTAAGACAGTTATGGCTCAGTGACTCAGCAGAAAATGACCAGCCATTAAAAACCATCCTTTTGAGGTTGATGTTGCAACGTGGAAACGCTTACACAGAATAGGGAACAAATGAGCGAAGAAGAATGTAAAGTTTGCATGTGATCCAAGTGCGGGGACTTAAATCCTGGCACCACAAGATGGATGTGACCTCAGGGAGATGAACACAGGGATGAGAGAAGGATTGCTATGTTTTCCTTGATTTAAAAAAAAGTTATGTCATTAAATAATATATTTGTGAGATGATGTCACAGACCAGAGACCAGAAGCTAAGGAGACAAGATGACTAGATGTAATTTGGGATCTTGGACTAGAAAAGGGACACAAGAGAACAACTGGAAAAATCCCTTAAAAAGCCCAGAGTTTAACTAGTGGTGATGTGCCAAGGTCAGTTCACGAATGGTGTACACGTTCACGTTCAAAGACCACCTAAGAGGTAGTGGGGTGCACTGCACCCGGGGTATGCAGGAAACTCTGCCACCTCCTTGTAGCTCTAAAAGGACTCCAAACTTTAAAAAGTATTGTTTAGGTGCACCGGGTGTTTCGGGACTTTCCCATACCAGTAGGTCTCAGAGTTTGGGGTAACTAAACACATCAGGGTTCCCCCAGGGCCTGCCAAACACCCGCAGATTCTTGGAGTGCATCCTTGGGCTTGGTGGGGAAGGGGGTGAGCATGCGTGGTGTCACTCCAGGTATTGGATACAAGTACAGACAGCAGGGAGCAGGGGAGAAGCCGCAAGGGTGAGGCACTGGCTTCAATTCTCAGCCCCGCATGGAAAAAGGAAAACAGAGGTCGACAACTAAAAATAAAACTTAAAAAAAAAAAGCCACAGTCTTTGCTCTGTGCCATTCCTGGGGCCTGAGCTGACTTGTTGGGGTGAAAAGACACATCTAGTCCAGGAGATGTGGACTGGATCCAGGAGATATGGACCAGACAGACAGGTGGGGCACAGTCCTACAGCTGGGAGCTCCAAGTCTGGGTGATAAGAACTGAGAAAGATTAGACAGGCCTGGAGGGGCAAGTAGGTTGGGGAGGACACCTGGAGGCAGTGAGATCCAAGGCCCTGTGGCCAGCACAATGAAGCTTAGAGGTTAGAGCAGGACTCTCAAGCCAGTCACCTGGACCCAGCCCCAGTTCTTGCTCCTCTGGGACTCTGGCACATGACTTTATATCTTTGTACTCATTTCTGCCCCCATAAAATGGGCAGCTGAAGCCAGGTGTGGTGGCCCACGCTTGTAATCCCAGCAACTTGGGAGGCCGAGGCAGGAGGATTGCAAGTTAGCAGGCCAACCATTTAGTGAGACCCTGTCTCAAAATTAAAATAGAAATTTAAAAAAGCTCAACGGTAGAGCACCCCTGGATTCAATCCCCAGTATCACAGGGGCGGGGGGGGGGGGGGGGGGGGGAAGCAGTGGAGAATCATACCTAGAACTGAAGCCGATAGAGAGAGAGAGTTGGAATGGGGTAGTCAGGGAGGGTGCTTGGAGAGCCCCAGCAAGTTCTAGCCAGTAGCTCCAGGAGAAAGGCCAGGGTCAGATGGGAACAGGAGGTCAGGGGAGGCATCTCAGAGGCAAGCAGGAGTTTGGAGGATGTGGGAGATGGAGCAACCTAGGGAACAAGGAACGAGGGACATGCTGGACAGAAGGAAAGACACAGGAGAGGTCAGGCAAGGTCGCTACACTCACAGGCCCCAAACCTCATCTCCCACTCGCCACCACCTGAAGAGAGCCGCACTCTGGCGGGCAGACCTTGGAATCCTGGATCTGCACCTCCAGGTGGGAGCTTGATTCAGCAGGTCTCTCTGGGAATCAGTCTTTTCATCTGAAAGACGGGGATATGAATTCTCCCCAAGTTGGGAGTGGGGGAAAGTCAGAGGAGTGAGACAGTAGGTGCTCGGTCTGCACCTTGCAGGGACTCACCGGGAGGGGTCGATGACCTTGTAGATGACCCCACGTGCAGCCGTGGCACTTGGCACGCCCGTGGACATGAAGTACAGCTCCCCTTTGGAAAGAAGAAGATGGCAGGTGAGCGGACAGCTAGAGTAATGTGGGCCACCCCCACCCACCCCCAGCAGCCCTCAGGTTGGAGACTGACCCCAGCCTCAGCAGACATCGAGGGGAGCGCTCCAGGGCAGCCTCTTGGTCCAGCCCCCAGAACTGGAAACTGAGGCTGGGAGGGGTGTCCAGATGTGGCCATGGGCCTCTACAGCACTGTCCCTGAGCGATCAGTCACCCTGCCTGCCCCCACTTCCCGCTCAGATCTCTGCTCCTGCTCCTTCCTGGTGGCTTGTCCCCCCACCCCCAGCCCTGGCCGGATTGAAGCCCAGCACCACACATCTCTGGGCATAGATAAGGCCCTGGAACAGCTCCCCACACGATGGCCTCCCAGGTGACCTGCGGGCACATGTGGCTCCCCGAGCCTTAGCTTCCCCATCTTTAAAATGGACAAGCTCACAGGGCTGCTACGGAGAGCAGAGAGGGAGAACTCAGTAGTGGCTGTTACTATTGTCACCTGGAGAGACCTGGGAGCAGGCACCTCCCTGGTAGGGCAGAAAGCACTGGGTCAGGAATCTAGTGTGAGCCCCCGGGGCCACCCGGAAGCCCTCTGTCTGGGAACTCTGTGATGGCCCACCCCCATCTTCCCCTCCAGCTCTCAGGTACAGTGAAAATGTACAGATCTGAGTTCTGAGCACCACGGAGCTCACTCTCAGGTGACATTGGTCCTCCTGTTCCCTGACCATCCTACCCTAATCCCTGCAGCCAGGCCCTCTGGGGCCCAGGAAATGGGCTTCATTATTGCCATCTTGCAAATGAGGAAACAGGCTCAGCAAGGTCGAAATCACGTAGTGAACATGTAGTGAACAGCTAAGCCAGACCCAGAGTGCAGCAAAGTCTGCTGTCCCCACCCCACACCAATGTAGGATCCACGAGTGCGTGCGGAGGGAGAGGAAACCTGACGCAAGCCCCCCATGGCCCAATGTGACAATTCAGTCGCACTAAGACCTCTGTCCTTGTAAGAGCATAGCAGAGAGCTCCTCCAGGCCTGGGGGGCGGGGCGCATCCCCAAGGAGAGGCTGAGACAGAGAAAAGCATGTCACAGGAGACAGGGGCAGACAGGGAGGGTGCATGGGGGCAGGGTCAGCAAGCAAGGGCAGGCAACCCTGGGGATTCTGCAAAGGGGGAGACCCTTGAGGGATAACTTGTGTAAGGGGTGGACCCAGCTGTGACAGGAGCAATGGCCCACCAGGGAAGTGGGGATAAGGGGCATAGGTCCACATGGGGAGGATGCCACCTGCAGGAATGGGGTCACCCTGGCAAGATGTCCCTTCAGGAGTCCATAAGGGAAGCCACAGGTTTGCAGTGTCATCTCAGGCCATCCACCTCCCTCTGGCCTCTCTCTGGACAGAGACTCTGGGGGCAGCCCCTGTCCCTCTATCTGTGCAGCCCTCACACTGACACTCCAGCTCCTTGTAGGTCAAGGCTCCCTGCACATCCCCAGCCTGAATGCCCTTCCCCTGTGTCTTCGTCTGGCTGACCAACCTAAGGCCCTGCTCTGCCCACAGTGCCCGCCCTCCTTACTGGGTGTGAAGAGTCAGTCTCATTCCCCATAAGTAAAGTGACAGGGTTAGACCAGGCAGACTCTGGGGCTGTGAGCAGGCTCTTGGACCATGTGCACACACAGGGACCCTTCTCATGCTGCCAGGCCCTCCGAGGGCCACACCGCCCTCTTGATCTCTGTGGTGTGGACTGTCCCTGGCAGATACTGGGCCGGCAGGCGTCCTCGTTTGTAATTTTCAAGTGTCAGGAGAACTAGAAAGGGGGGAGCAGAGCCAGGAGCTCTGCTAATGTCACTCTCTAGTAGTGGGAGAGACTGGCTGACACTGGACCTGGAGCTGGCCCTGGGCTCCTGGCTCGCGGGTGCCTCCTCCTGGTTTTCTATCTCAGTGCCACTCAGAGGGCTGAGGAAGGGCCCCAGGGGACCGCACCTTCCTCCAGGCCCTGCATCTTTGGGGGAGAGGGAGGTGGGGAGGGAGGCTCCCCTGCTTCTGAAATACGTTAACCCCCTACTGACCAAAAGAAAGGGCTTTCAGGGGCCCAGGGGCCTCTCAGGGGCTGGAGCTGCCCTTTTGGAAATTCACATGTGATGGGGGGATGGGGGAGGTTGGTTCAACAAAGGTTTCCCAGACTCCCTGGGGGCTCTGGCACTGGGCCTTGCAGGGACACACCTCCAAAGCACCCCCCCAACTGCGTTGCCTAGAAACCCCTACAAAGCATCCACCAGGGCCTGCTGGGGGCCCCTGGCCTTTTGTTGTGGCATAGTCAAGGGGTCCAAGGACAAAGGCACGAGACTGGAGCAGGATCCAGTCTCCATGGCCCTTCTTCTTCCCCTCCCCCTCTGTCCCTGCTTTGAAAACACAAGTGCCTCAATGTGTGACCAGTTAACAGGCAGGAGGGCTGCCGTCTGTCCACCCACTGTGAAATTCCAGTGCAGCTTCACTGAATGGTCCAAGTGCATTTGCCATGAAGAACCAAGGGCCCTGCAGTTCTCTGGGGAGACACTCTCCCTCCGCACTCCAGATCCTGCCTGCAGACCCAACCCCTGTTAGCACTGGCCTCCCCGCAGCCCTGCGCTGGATGGGAACAGGGAAGACAGACCATTTCTCCCTTTTTCCAGATGAGAAAGTGAATATGCCTTAGGAACTGAATGCCTCCCTCCCCAGCACGCAGACCCGACCCCTCACAATACAGCCAGGAGCCCTGGGAGGGGGAAACCAGTCCCAGGCCCAGTGAGTCTGGACCAGGGGGAGGTCCACGAAGGCTCACCCGCCTCATCCTCTGCAAAGGAGATGATGTGTGGGTAGTAGTTGTTGATGAGGCCTGGGAATGCGCAGGTCTGGCCACGGCCCATGCAGATCTCACTGTACCGCCACTGGCCTGTCCCTGGGTTTTCTCGGAGGGACATCAGACGCCTAGAGAGGAAGATGAGGTCTGAGGTCATGGCCGGTATGGTGTACGGGAACACACCATCTATTCATCAACTCCTCCACCCATCCAATCATCTATCCATCCTCCCATCTGTCCTCCTGTCTGCTCATCCATGCAACCAGGACCATTGTAATTGGCAGGATCCAGTGCAAAAGGCATGCAGGGTCTCTTGTTCAACAATTATTAAAAACTTCAGGAGAGTGATGAGAGAGCAGTAAGCGCAGTGTGGGCCCTTCTGTGCAGGGCCCTGCAGCCGCACAGGTTGTGTGTCTGTGAAGTGGGCTAGGTGTGATCTTCACTGAGCATCTGCCAGAGGGACCCCCGATGAACAAGATCAGCTTGGTTCCTGCCTGTCAGTTCAATGCAGTCCCTGGCCAGGTGAAGGCACAGTATCTCTGAGAGCTGACGTCCACCACAGCTGCCCCAAGGTGTATGCATCCTTTGGCACTGCCTGTACTTCAGACAGCAGGCAGTTGGCCATCTTGGGAACATGCTCATCTTGCGCCAACTCCCTCTTCTGCTTCTCCAGCACCTAGGCATACTTCCAGCCCCTGCTCCCACATTGCCTCCTCTGTGAAGCCCTCCCTGATTGCACCTGCTCTGGGCTCCCAGCACTGGGCACAGGCTCTCTAAGGTTGCAATGTCTCAGACCAAGTGTGGGTATGTCCCTGGCTTGGATGCAAGATGCTCTTCATCTCAGTTGCCCTGACCCTGGTGTAATGCCTGACCCAGCAGAGGGGCTTGGGAATGTGGGCAAAATGAATTGAATGTCTGAGACCAGAAGACTTGGGAGAGAAAGAACTGGTGGCAAAAATAAAAGCTCCATCTAGGAAGCTTTTTCTAGGTGGAAAGCTGGGTGGCCAAGGAAGGGAGTCCCCAAGAACTGGGAGAATGATCCAGTATCTAGGGGCATAGGGCTGGGTACTTTCTCAGCTCCCGACTGAACGTAAGTCAGCAGCCTTCCAGAGGCAAGAAGTCCCCTGCCAGCCTTGGGCTCTGGATCTCCTCCCCGGGCACCTACTCGGCTGTTCTCCCCAGAATGGGAATTAGGGGCATCGTGTGTCTGTGAGTTTGAACTAACTTCCAAGTGCTGTGTATGTCCTAGTAGATTCTGTCCTGAGGACCCCCTGAGATGGTGGGCACTACTGTCAACTGCTTTTTGTAGGTGAGAAAACTGAAGCACAAAGAGGTAAAGTAACTGGCTCAAGGTCAACTCCAGTGAGCAGAAGGATCCAGACCAGGCATCTCAGGTGCACTTTTAAGCCTCAGCATGCCAGGCTGTATGTCACCCTGGTCCTCTCTGACTCTCAGTTTTCTCCTCTGTACAATGGGACAAGTTAGTCGTAAGTGTCCAAGCTCTACAGAGGACAGAGTCTGGTTCACAGCAGGCCTAGGAGGTGTGCTCTCTCCTCTTCTAAAATGCACCTGGATGTGACTCATGCCCTGTCCCCCACACCCACCCACACACCTGTTAAGTCTCAGTGGTGGGAATAGAGGAGGGAGGCTCCACAGGCCACAATGGTCAGGCCTGGACAGCAGCCTTAGCTCCCCCTCTCCTCAGCAGGGTCACTTTGGATGGGCCACTGCCCTCTGTGGCTTCAGTTTCCCAACCTGTGCAAGGGGCTTGGGGACCAATGCTCTCTGCAGGCCTGGCTGGGGTGGGCTGGGTAAGGCTCTATGGGCTCCCATTCTGTGCAGTGATGGGTCCTGTCTTCCCCAGGAGGAAGGTGGCCCTGGGGATAGAGGGCTTGCTGGTGTTCTGTCCCTGACTATCAGAAGGACTTGTAGCTCAAAACGCAGGAGTCTCAGGAGAGAGGGAAAGACCAGGTCCCAGCCCTTAAGCCCATGGTCTGCTAAGCCATGACCTGGGCCTTCTTCCCAGCTCCAGTCCCTGTTAGGAGAACAGGAGCAGATTTCCTAAGGGGTGACTCTCAACTTCCCCCCTGAGGAAGAGACCTGTTGGCCCACACCCACAGGGGGCTCCTGTCAGTGTGCCGGTGCATCTGTGTACACACACACACATATACACACACTCACTTCATCACAGTCCAGGGAGCAGAGGACCTAACCACGAGTACTCAGGGCTGTGGGCCACCTACCCGCTCATGAAATCCCCGAAAATGTAGAGGCCATTCAGGTTGGGGTACTCGCAGCCCCGGTACACATAGCCCCCTGTGACCGACTTGCCCATCTTGTGCGGGTAGGCAAAGATCGGCAGCACGTCATCTGCAGAAGGGGAAAGAGCCCGGGGTGAACATGTGGCAGCCTGTTCAACTGCCAGGTTGAACAGCCCCAGCCCGAGGCCTGTGAAAAGGGGACTGGGGACAAAGGTCAGCAAGAGACAGGGGTCACGAGGTCAGCCAGAGGTTCCCCGATGGCAGGCAGAAGGAGGGAGGTGCTCACGGGGGACTGCCTGGAGGGGGAGGGGATTTGCAGGGGCCCAGGGCCAGGGGGAAGCAAGAGCAGAGGAGCGCGAGGGAGGGCACGGGAGGTTCCAGTGGGGACAGGAGGTCTCCTCGAACAATTCGCAGAGGGTGGGGTGCGGGGACCGGTCCAAAATGAAGAGGTGCCTGGGAAGGGTCCTGGGTGCAGCCCCGTGGGAGCCCCAGTCTTGGGCAGCCGAGGGGAGGGTTGGGCGGATCGGATCGGGGTTCGGGGTCCCTGGCGCGGGCTCACCCAGGGAGGCGTTGGCGCACAGCTTGCGGTCGTAGCACTCGAAGCCCTCGCGGGCGCGCCAGCCATAGTTGCGGCCGCGCTCCACCAGGTCCACCTCCTCGAACTTGTTCTGGCCCACATCACCGCAGAACAGGCGCCCGCGGCCCGCGCCCGTCGCCGGGTCGCCGCGGTCGAAGGAGCAGCGCCACATGTTGCGCACGCCCAGGGCGTAGACCTCTGGCCGCGCGGCCGGGTCGCCCACGAACGGGTTGTCGGGCGGGATGCGGTAGAGCGGGCCGCGCTCGTTGCGGTTCACGTCGATGCGCAGCACCTTGCCCAGCAGCGCCGACCTGCGGACGGGCGAGAGGCCGGGGTGTCAGCGCGCACCATCCCCAGGACGGGGAGTGACGGGGCCCGGTGCAGGGTGAGCCCCGGCTATGCGGCAGAAACCCGGGTGCGGTGCTCCTCAGCTACTGGCAGCTGGACAACCTCGTTCATCCTTTCAACTGGGTGCCAAGCCCTGTCCAGAGCATTGGACCTAAAGTCGTCTATTGCCGCACTTCATGGCCACAAGGAAACTTTTAGGTTTAGTACTGTTATGATCTAGTTCTACAGATGGCAGCTAAGCTCAAAAAAAGTCAGATAAAGTGCCCCCCTGCCACCCGGATAATCAATGGTAGGGCAGAGATCCAGCCCAGATGGCTGGCCCAGAACCCCAAGCCCTTTTCCAGACCCTCTATGGAAGCCCAGTGTCCTCCATAGTGACAGAGGGTTCTGCTCTGCCCTCCTGTTTACAGGGTTGTGCTAGCCAGTGAGGATTCCGCTAGAAAATGACTCATATTTAGTTTTTTTTTTTTTCCAGGACCCAGCCCAGTGATCCAACCTAGTAGGTGACATCAAGTGTTGAGTCAGTGATCAAAGTCATATGCGTCAAGCAGAAAGCGTAGGGAGGGCTGGGAGAAGGTGGGAGCTGCCAGCAGCTCTAACCTCTGTGCAGCTCTGTGGGGGGTGGGGGGGTGGGGGGGTGGGTAGCTTTTGGTTCCACTGGTCACATGACAAAAATCACATGGAAAAATCTGTGCTGTGCTTGGAGATGGTGTGGAGGGGAGCAGGCCTCTCACCTGGTTTCTGATCTCCCCTCTCGGTGTTGGTGGACTCCCTCCCTCCAGGCTGCCTTTCAAGGCAGGGCTGGTGTCCTTTGCCCAATTGACACAACTGTGTGCCTGTCATTCCCACAAGAATTAGCACCCAAGTGTTCCCCCATCAGTAGAGACACCTCACAGGAGTCTTGCTAATGGTGACAAAACACTCCCCCAGCCCAGGGTCCCCACCACAGGCCTACCAGCTTCCCCAGCAGCTCCTTCCACGTGCCCTGAGCTGCTCACACCCTGAGCCACAACAGGCATCATGCCTCAGGATGCGAGTGGGCAAAAACCGCATAGCAGCAAAACAATGTTTTAAGTCCCATCCAATTATCCACAAATCCTTAATTTCTATTTTCTCAACTTCATCTCTGAACACATTGCAAACTGAGAAAGCTCGGATGATTCTTACACTGTCACATGTGAAAGCATAAGTCACAAATCGTGAGCACTTTAATTACAGTAATCAATATCACCCTTTCTATTTTGACTTCCTGGGCTAAGGGAGGTTTTGTCATTTTGGCTAAGGAAATGGAAGAGGCAGGCCGGAGACTCTTCAACATCCTCGTTTACATGCACAAGGATGTACACCCGCGTGTGTGCATGCATAAAGAGGCACAAGGGTAGGCCATTTGCTCAAGCCAGCAGGTGGGTAAATGAGGCCGAGATTATACTTCCGAATTTGGGTCTTTGTGAGTGACCCTGGGGCAGAAAACCCACCTGTCCATAGAGACCCTACTCTGGCCTGCTTCCCCTCCCTGATCCATCTGGGGAGCACCCCATACCTTCCTCCAGCAGGGCTCTGTTCAGGGCTGGGCTGACCTTCCCAGAGGGTCACTGATGTCACTTATCAGGCACCTGTGAGAAACAGGCTCTGGGCAATTGTAAACCAAGGAGCCTCCCATGGAGATGATTATCATTCCCCTGTAATTGATGGGAACAAGTGACTGCCTGGGATCCCCAGCTAGCTGCAGGCTGATCTGGTTCCCAGACCCTTCCCTACTAATCAAAGCTGCTTGGCTAAGAAAGTCACTTCTGGCTCCAAAAGAGTGCCAGAAGCCCCGGAGTGCCCCCCAAGGTACCAGACAACTAGAAGCCGAACATACTTGTTTTGGGCATTTCCAAACTTTCCGAAGGGGTCTCCAGCCATCCCGCCATCTCCGGTAAAGATGTACAGGTACCCATCGTCCCCAAAGAGCAGCTGACCCCCATTGTGGTTGGCAGCTGGTTCTTCAATCTCCAGGATTATCCTAAAGGAAGATAAACCCCCAGCAATGAAAACTCAGCCTTCAACACATAAACAAACAAACAAAAATCAAGATCACAACAATGAACCCTCCTCTCTGTTGGATGTCATTTCACAATGGAGAAAAGAATGTTGTTGTTGTTTTCTAATACTGGGGATTGAACTCAGGGGTGCTCTACCACTAAGCCACATCCCAGCCCTTTTATTTTATTTTATTTTTATTTTGAGACAGAGTCTTGCCGGGGCTGTTCCTGAATTTGTGATCTTTCTACCTCAGTCTCCTAAATCACTGTGATTACAGGTGAGTGCCACATGCCCAGCTGGAAAAGACTTTTTATATCCTTTGTAACAAGTGATTTTCACAAGGACCTGGTAAGTAGGTTGAACTGGAATAATTTACTCCACATGTCAAGGAGGACCTGGAGGCTCGGAGAGGTTGAGCGACTGGCCCAAAGTCTCACAGCCCGTAGGTAGCAGAGCTGGGACTAGAACTCAAAACTTTGAGTTCTGGCTCAGTGTTGTTTTTTTTTTTTTTTTTTCCTACTGCTCTCTATGCTAGCATCTGCCCTACTATAATTATGTGAAACTGTCCACCTGACCACTGGTTCAACTAGTTTCTCCATTGTCCTAGCTTCTCACAGCAGCTAGTCAGGCCATGCACACTCTACACACATCCCATTTGTTAGCTACCAGAACTTCTAAGACCTTGGCAGGATGCTTGGGCTCCACACCCTGCCTTGGGGACTTCCTGACTGCCAATGCAGGGAACTTCCCACTATGCCCCAGCCAGCCAGCTTCAGGTCAGGGTCTGCCGCTGGGGAGCAGAAGGCAGGAGGGAGAAGCCAGGTCTCTGACCTCTGGCTCCACCTCCAAAAACAGCAGGTGCAGAGCCAGCCACAGTGGTGGCTAACAGGGACCGAGGGCAGACACACCTGCACAAACACCTTCTCCCCTTTGTTCCTCCCGTCCCAGAGCGGCAGTAGCTTGTTATAGCCACCACTCTCAGGAAACTGATCCTTCCTCTGTCCTCTTCCAGCCCTCTCAACGCCTGGGTAGCCAATTCTCTGTGTAAATTCCCTCCTGCCAGGTGTGGTGGTGCACACCTGTAATCCCAGATACTCAGGAGGCTGAGGCAGGAGGATCACAAGTTCAAGGCCAGCCCGGCAACTTAGGGAGACCCTGTCTCAAAATAAAAAGGACTGAGGTGAAACTCACTGGTAGAGCTCTCGTCTAACAGGTATGAGGTCCTGGGTTCAATCCCCAGGACTGAAAAAATTATCCTCCAGTTGAGCTGGGTGTGGTGGCGCATGCCTGTAATCCCAGTGGCTTGGGAGCTGAGTCAGGAGGAGAGGATCACGAGTTCAAAGCCAGCCTCAGCAATGGCAAGGTGCTGAGCAACTCAGTAAGACCCTGTCTCTAAATAAAATACAAAAAAAGGGCTGGGGATATGACTTAGCAGTTGAGTGCCCCTGAGTTCAATCCCTGGTATCCAAATCATCATCATCATCATCATCATCATCATCATCTTCCTCCTCCTCCTCCTCCAATTGAAATAAACTTAAGATATTCTAACTCTCCAGGATTGGCTACTCACTCGCTAAACTCTCATTAATAACAGATAAGAAAAACCAGGATACAGAAAGGTGAAGTCACTTGGACCCTGGATTTGAGTCCTTCAGAGCCAGGGCTGGAAGCCTTTGCACTGTGATACCAATGCACAGCAGGAGGTGAGCAATACAGGACCCAGCACCAGGGCCTCCTGCGGAGCACAGCTCAGACTGAGGGACCCCAGCCCCAGATAAAGAGACTGACAGCCTCCGGCACAGAGGCACACACCTGTAATCCTAGTGATTCTGGAGGCTGAGGCAGGAGGATTGTAAATTCAAAGCCAGCCTCAGCAATGATGAGGTGCTAAGCAACTAAAATAAAATACAAAATAGGGCTGGGGATGTGGCTCAGTGGTCGAGGGCCCCTGAGTTCAATCTCCAGTATCCCCCAAAATAAATAAATGAAGAGACTGCCAGTCAGCTTGAGCAAAGATGACTGCTTTTCCCTGACCTGCCTTCGGCCAGCCAGCCATGCCTATGTCCCCCTCTAAATGAGCTCAGGCTTGAACAAATGATGTCTCCAGAAGACCCTTAATGAACCCTCACTCTTAAATATGTTCCTCTGTATATTCTGTGCTCAATTTAAGTTTTATCAGGAACCATTTTTTTAAGTCACTGTTGAAGGTACTTTCATTCTGCCCTTCCATCTTCCCTTTGTCAGGTTCATATGATAAATAATCTTTCATGGAGAAGTAGTTGCATGGGTTCGTATAAGATTATGAGCATCATATTTTCTCTTTTTGCTCCAGCTGCCAGGAAGCTCATAGTCAAAATTAATGCTGGAGCCAGGCATGACGGTTACATCCATAATCTCAGCTGCTCTAGAGACTGAGGCAGGAGGATCATAAGTTTGAGGCCAGCCTCAGTAACTAAGTGAGGCCCTAAGCAATGTAGCAAGACCCTATCTCAAAATAAAAAAATTAAAGAAAAGGGAGGAGGGCTGGGGATGTGGTTCAGTGGTTAAGTGCCCCTGGGTTCAATCTCTAGTACCAAAAACAAACACAAAAACAAAATCAGTGCTGTACGGCAAGAGCCACATTAGCTCACCAAGACAGCTGTCTGGTGGTCACTCGTCCTTTCTCTATGTTCAATGTTAAGATGTTACAGTTTGATCAAATATACAAGGTGATGTTACTTGCCTGTTTGCCCTCTGACCCAGGGCTGACCCTCCCCTTCCCTGCGACTGCAAACTACACTTCCCATGTTCCTTTGCTGGCTGAAATGGTTTAGCCAATGGGCAGTACTTTGCGAGACTGGAGTGGGGAGGACACCCCTCTCTGTTTCAGGTAGGGTCCTGGCAGTAGCTGCACCTCCTTTCTGGATCTAGTTGATCTGCCCAGGCCCAACATGGTGCCAGCTGTCACAGAGTGGCCGCACCTCCAGGGCTCCTGGGCTCCGGGAAGCCCCCCTTCCCACTTTGTCCAGCTCTAGGGGTGGAGGCAGCTCCTCCACTTGCAGCTCAGAGTGGCCTCCCTTCCTGCGGTTGCCCTTTCATTGTCCTAACCCCTGTGCAACTATTTTCCAATATCAGATTCTACCTGTTGGGTCTCTGATAAGGGGGCTATTTCCCCATTGTACCCAGGCTGGCAAGTGAGCCCCTTGGGCAGGCCAGCTCAACTCCAATTGGACAACCAGCTGGAGCATATATAATGCACAGGGAGCCCTCTGTGTAGGCCTTGAGGACCCGGGGGTGGGAATGGGTGGGAGCTGGAGGAAGGAAGTTTCCTGGAGCAGAGGATGCCCTGGGGGGACACGGAGGCCAGAGCAGGGTTCCTGCTGAAATGCTTCTAGAAGTGTGACCTGAAAGGTCACTTGACCTCTTTGAGCCTCCACTTCCTCATCTGAAAAATGGGACCAACAACACGAACTCCTTGGGTTTTAAGCGAACCACATGAAAGCAACCATCTCGAGTGCCTGGAGAGTTGGGGGAGAGATGATCGGCCTTGGAGGCCACATGGAGGGGTCAGGAAACGGTTCCATTGAACGTCTGGTTTCCAGAAGCCTCCCCAGGCCCCAGGGCATGTACTTCAGGGGATTTAAAGGTGCTGGGGTTTAAATGTGCGGGTATTTAGTAACCTCCTGGTGAGGCGCTCACACCAGGGCACGTGCGCACGCCCCTGCATGGCAGCCCGGCTCCCACCCTCGGTGGCCCCGGGGAAACACCTCTCGGAGCCGTGGTCCACGGCGTTCTCATCGTCCTCGGAGACTCTGAACTCGCTGATGCGGATCCACTCGTGGAAGCCGACCCCCACGGAGTAGTAGACGTAGAGCTTGCGGTTGCGCGGGGAGTCGGGGTGGAAGGCGATGCCCAGGAAGCCCCGCTCGTCGCCCTCCCAGGGCGAGGTGAGCACGGCGCGGCTGATGTTCAGGAAGGGCTTCTCCAGGCGCGAGCGGTCAGCCAGGTAGGCCCACACCAGCCCCACCTGCTCGGCCACGAAGAAGCGGTGGGTGCCGTCCCGGGCATGGACCATGGCCACCGGGTTGCGCAGCCCGTTGGCCACCTCCTCCAGGCACAGCTGCAGGCAGCCCTTGGCATCGGCCACCACTCGGCCCAGGTTCAAGTTGAGGTTCTCGTTGACCAGTAGGCGTGGGAAGCAGTAGTCCGTGTCATCCAGGGACAGGTAGCGGCAGAACTTGGCTCGGTTCTCTTCCAGGGCCCAGAGCTCGCGGTCGGGCGAGAGGTGGCGGAAGAGGCCCCGGCACGTCTGCCACATGTCCAGGCAGTAGTCCTCGCAGAGCCCCGGCACCGTCCGCAGGGGCGTGGAGGGGTCCTCGGCGTCATAGAGGTGGGCTGCATAGGGCGAGCATTCCTGCAGAGACAGGCAGGGCTCAGGGGTGCTGTGTGGGGACACCAGTCAGCTGTGTGCCCCCGGCCAGAGCCTCAGTCTGCAGACCCACAAAGGGCAGAGGAGGCCCTCTATTACCACCTGTAGCCTCAACTCCAGCAGCAACCTTGGCCTCATTTCCCTTCCCCTGCGCTCTTGTCCCTGTGCCTTGGTGCACCTGCTAGAACAAATCCTGAAACCGTCCCTTCTGCTACTACCTGCTGCCACACAGAGGCTGCTGGGGGCACCGAACCCTTCCAAGCCGACTCTTCACATCCTGCACCCGCCCCTAGATCTGGCCGACTAACCCCCTCACTTTGTGACCCTACTCAAGGGCCACCTCCTCAGATCTTCTCTGATCACCCAGTCCACCCCCACCCATTACTTCCTGGCCTATGACCTTGCTTTAAATCAAACAAAAATCAGAGGATGCAAGTTTGAGGCCAACCTGAGCAACTCAGACCCTGTCTCAAGATCAAAACCAAAAAGGGCTGTTGATATAGCTCAGTGGTAGAGCCCCCCCGGGTTCCATCCCCTGCATCTCAAACAAAAGGAACATGACCTGAGATTATAATAAAAATTAATTGGTTCCTTGTTTATTGCCTGTCTTTTTCTTCAGAACACGAGTTCTGGATGGTTACTATTGTACCCCAGAACTTGATAGAGTCCAGCGCATAGTGGGCCCATAGGCAATACCTTACCCACCAGCCCTCTGTTGACCTTGATTCACCAGAGATAGGCCACGTGCTCCTACATATCTGTCCACTGAATCTTCCTGAGATCTCAAGAGGGAATTGCTACTGGGGAAACTGAGGCTGAAGGCCACTTGTCATTCAGCACCACACTTGGGCTAGCAACACAGACCATATTAAGTGTGATCTCAGGTGGGCCCTGCTCTCTCCAGCACAGTGGTGACTGGCATGGGCAATAAGCAAGTGTGTTGATGAGGCCAGTGCCCACCCCCCCACACCTGGTCCCTCCCTCCTGCCCAGGCACCTCATTCTCAGCTCCTTGATGAGACCCTGGGGCTGTCCCCACTGCAGCAGTGGCAGAGCAGCTTTCTATGTGATGAATGAATCCAAAACCCTTGGGCCCCTCCTCAGGCCTTTGGCCTCACAGGTCCTCTTCCCAGCTCTGCCCAGAGCAGAATCCAGAGCCTCATGCCCCTCCCACTCAGTACTTCCCCACCAGTGAGATGCGTCAGACCTCATCAGGGCCCACGTGGGCACCACTTGAAATGCAGGGCAGTGAATGCCACGGGACAAGCCTCTGGCCACTGGGAGAAGGGCTCTGCCCACCTCCCTGCCTGAACAGTCCCAAAGTGCAGAGTTCGGCTGCTCCGAGGTGGCTCCCAATCACATTTGGCAGTATCCCGCTCACAATTGCGTCCTAGCCTGTCTCTGACCCTGCCACGCCATCTCCTGCTTCCTGGGTCCCCTAACCCTACTAAGACAAAGGGCGCAGAAGCTGTGGCTTTGCTCTGCTCTCTGGGAACCCTGGCCAAGGCAGCAAACCTGAGCAGCCTCTTCCCTGCGCCACACCTCCAGCGCCCACCCTGCCCCCAACCCAAGAGCCTGGCTCTCCCTGATCTGGCTCTGCCACGGCTCCTGCTCACCTTCCTCTTCCCCACAGCCCTGCCACGCGGCAGTCTGCTCTGCACCTCAGGACAGCTGCCCCTGGCCGCGCACCCTTCCCTCCCCACCTCTCTGGCAGGTTGAATTCTCCACATCCTTAAATAATACAGATGAACTAGTGTTAGAGTCTGTAAACAAGACAGGATGGCGCCTGGTATTTTGCCAGGGGGAGTGGTTTGTGAGGTGGTGCCAGTGAGCCATTAAGTGTGGAGATTCCTTATTGGTTGACTGCTGTATCTATTTTATGTTAATTAAGATAAGCTGTGTGGAATGTATAAATACCTCTGTTGTCCTACAATAAACGGCTCCCACTCCTGCTGTATCAATGTACACAAGTTGTTTGTCACCCCCCCCCCCCCCCCCCCCCCCGGTTATTTTGCTGCAAACTAGCAGGACAATGCCAACAGCTGCGGGGGCTGGGGCCGATGGTGGGCCAGCCCTGTGCAGGGTGCTCTTTGTGAATCTACTTCCCCCCAAAGCAGCAGCAGGGTGTCCTTGTTCTGCATGTCCTTAGATAGATGAGGAAGCTGGGACTCCAGAGGAAGTCACCAGCCCAAGGTCATGTGCCGCAGAGTGTGCTGCACAGACAGGGTTTGAGCAAGTGTGCTGGACTCCACCAACTGGCTCTATCTACCCACCCGCAAGCTCCGGTGCAGAGCCCCACCACACACACCACGGCCCCTTCCTCGCCTCAGTGTGCAACGGTGCCCTCAGCAGCCCAGGCTCCGTGGGGACTGCCCTCTGTCCAACCCTGGACCTGACCTGCGTGTTGTAATTATTTATTTCTGAGCCTGACACCTCTCCAAGGCCCAGCCTGACTCAGCTCTGGGCCTCCAGAGGACTCAGGGGATGCGCCTCCTGCGGTGAAGGAGGCCCTAACAGCCACAGACATCCTCCCCACCCACAGGGGGGACCAGGCTGGCTTCCAACAGAACGCCTCTGGGGGCAGCGGGTGACTGGCTGACCTCACAGCTATGTTTTCAAGCTCCAGTCCAGGGGCCACTCACTCCCATCACATGACCATGGCTTCGGTCAGCTATGGCCTGTCCTTCTGGCCCCTCTGGGCTGAGTCCTACCCGACAGGACAGGCAGCACCCTGCTGTGCACTTGGTCAGCTGCTGTCCCAGGCCCAAGCAGGGACACCATGTCTCACATGTTGACTCTGCCAACAAGAAGCCAGGAGCCAGGTCTTAGGTCTATGCACTGCAGTATCTCTCATGGTCCCTGGAGTCTCCTGTGGGTCAGCCAGCAGCTGCAGGTGGTCCCGGAGGCTCTGTGTATGTGCACACCTCATTCAGTCTTTGCAGGTCAGCGTCATTGTGACTCCTATTTTGCAGATGAGGAACCGGGACTAAAAGTAGACATGTTCCAAGAAGTGGCCAAACCTGGGCTCACACCAGAACTCACGCCACCCACCTGGTGCTCTCTCCAGATGAGCCAGGAACGTTCCACTCCACAAGTGTCTCCTGGACACACACTGTGCCAGGCACTGTCCTCTACTCCAGAGACACAGTGGACGGCAGAACAAACTTCTGCAAGCCAATCTGAGGGCATGCCACTCACCAAGGCCCAGGCAGAGGGAACAAGAGGGCCTGGAGACCTTGGCAGTCACCAGCAAACCCTGGGTCCACGGCTGTTCACTCACAGCCTGGGGATTTTTACTTACACACAGGGCAAACATGGTGCTCACAGCAGAGCAGTCAAGAACTAGGAAATAACAAGAAGCGCCAGTGACCGCTGCTGGCAGAGAGATGATGAGGCACCAGGCCCCACAGTCAGTGGCAGAGAGGGTGGAAAGCCATGCCAGCAACCCACCACTCGGTTGCCTGGGCCAGGAAGTGCAGGGCAGACAGCCTGCCACCTCCCCATCCCAAGGTTGCCCCCGCATAGCCACTGACACTCATGACTCATGGTCCTGAGTCCTGAAGGCATCTCATGCCTTCCCACTCTTGAGAAGACAGAGTCTTTGCACACAATGTCCTCTCCGTAGGAAGCTCCTACTCACTCAATTCCACATCTGCCAAACTCCTGTTCATGACGCAAGAATGGACTCAAAGTCCTCTCTGACTTCAGCTCTCTCCCAGGGCTGCTGCCGGCCCTGGGCCACTCCCACAACATCTGTTCAGGGCTCCGACACAGCCCCCACTACCTTGTAACCCTGCAGCTTGCAGGAGATACTCTACACTTCTGCCCTCACCTCTCCAACGCCAGCAGTGGCCTGGATGCTCTGCTTGGCTAGGACTTCATCATCTCTTTGCATACCTGTCCATCCCACAGATGATGGCACCCTCTAGGGGGGCATCCCAGGACCCAGCACATAATCAGGCTCAGGGACAGAGGTAGCATTGGGAGAAGGGCTTTGGAGCCAGAGCGCACACTCTCTGTGCACTCAAGTGACCGTGGGCATGCTCCTGGGGCCATGTCCTCATCCATGAAAAGGGTAAGGAATTCCAACCTCACGGGTGTCACGAGGAATAAACCAAGATGATACAAGTATGTGTTGGGTAATTTTCCAGTTGGATGAGCTGGTAAGAGGTAACTGAATATCCCCTCCTCCTGGAGGCCTTCCTTCCCGGCCCCTGACACCTTTGTGCTATGCCCTCATGGGTTTTGGTAATCTTGGTGAATCTCTTGCACATTCTGGTAAGTAGCTGCTGTCTGTCCTGAACTGAACAAGGGGACTTTGAGGCTGTGCCTGCGACTTGCCAACTGCCTCCAGGCCCAGCACCAGCACAGGGCCAAGTCCTTACAGGCCCTGGAACAATCTTCTGAAGGCATGAGCCTGCAGAGGACCTTTGCAGATTTCCATCAGAAACATGATTGGATGACCTCAGGCACTTGGAGAGGGCACCTCAGTTACAGGGGAAGTTAGCACGTGGAAGGCTCATGCCAGCCATGCAGGAGATGCACATGCCATAGCTGGTCATTCTCCTCCAGAGCACACAGCATCCATGGGAGGTAAGAGCCTCCCTGTCTCCCCAGGACAGATGTGAGGCCTGAGTACAGACTGAAACCTGTAGATAAGGTGCCTGGGCCACCTCTCCTGGTGGGAATCCGGAGGTGCTGAATCTGGACACAATCTTGGCTGGCAGAGAGCAGTTCTCCTGCCAGCCATCTCCACAAAACCCTGTCAGGAAACCATGCCCCAGCCACAGCCGCCCTCTGTAAGCTCACTCCAGACATGAGGTCACTCCCAGAGACGCCTCGGCTGGAGGTGCTAGCAGACACTCCACCATGGGTTGCTCAAGGCCAGGCAATCCCAGGAGGTTCCCAAGGAAAAGGAGGGGCCTCCTGCCAACAGACCCAGGACCGACTTTCCCTTCTTCTTCCTTGGACCTGTCTGCCTCATCTGCCTTGACTGGTCCAGTACATAATAAGTGTTCAATAAACAGGTGTGGAATGCATGTGTGAACTCTGCTATGTGGCCTGGGTGTGGGGAGACCAAGGACCTGATCCCAAGGAGTCCCCAGGCTGGGGAGAACAACTCCCAAGCAACTCCCTTAGTTGCTTGGCCAGACTCTTCAGCTCTTAAGACGCCCAGCATGGGGGTTCAGCAGAGTCTGGGGCTGGTGGTGGGCCAGGAAGCACTAGAGAAATTTAACTGCATCTATTGTTTGAGCCACTTAATTTGCATGGCAACCCTGGGGGACAGTTAAGAAATCTGTCCCCATGTTATTTATTATTGTTGTTGTTAACAGTAGTAATAGTATTAGTAGTGAATGCACCCTGGAGCATATAACCACTGAGCCACATCTCCAGACCTTTTTAAATATTTTATTTAGAGACAGGGTTTTGCTGAGTTGCTTAGAGCCTCCCTTAGTTGCTGAGGCTGGCCTCAAACTTGTGATCCTCCTGCCTCAGCCTCTATAGTGGCTGTGATTACAGGTTTGTGCCACCACGCCTGGCCCTTTTTTTAATATATTTTGAGACAGGATCTTTCCAAGTTGCTCAGGCTGGCTTTACTGGAACTTGCCATTCTCTGCCTCAGCCTCCTGAGTCTCTGGGATTACAGGCATGTACCAACATGCCCAGCTTCTGTCCCCATTTTAAAGATAATGTAACTGAAGTGTGCAGTGGTGATAGTCCCAAGGTCACAAAGTCAGAAGGTGGCACAGCCAGGATCAACCCCAGGACATCAGGTTCCATTAAGCCCTTCTGCCCCTTTCCCCTCGCCTGCCCCCTGCTGGCTGAAGGCTGGAGTACTGCGCTGCGCCCGTGGGATCGCTCCACCCCTGAGCGCCTTCCCTGTCCAGTTGATGGCCAGGGCCAGCCTTAGGGCTCCTGGTGACACCCTATTTCTGCATTCAGCCAGACAGCTTTTGCCCACGGGGGGCAATCTCACAGAAGGAAAACAGCTATGATAGTGTGGTGTGGGCAGAAGTCAGCGGGGAGGTGTCACTCAGGTGAGGGCGCCCTTCCAGCGGGAGCACCCAGGTGGGGCCGGAATACATCCAGGGTCCAGGACTCACACAGGCCAGGTCAGGGAGGAGGCAGGGGCTCTTAGACTGCTCCCGCAGGGTAGGGAGGGGCCCTCATAGGGAACAGTGTCCCCTAGACCTTTCAACCACGCCTGGCACCTTGACCACGCCCTCTTCAGAGCCCCTGATCCCCTCGCGCGGCAGCACAGGGAGCCGGGCTTAAACGCCTCCGCATCCCGGTACCGACCAGGGCGGGGTTCCTCCAGGTGGGGTACTGCGGGGCAGAAAAGCCCCTAGTCTCGGAAAGAGTAATGACATCACCTGTCCCGTCTGCGCTGGGAGAGGCAACTGAGGCCCGGGGAAGGCTCACGTTACGAAGCTTATGAATGGCAAAGCCGAGAGCTGTCCGGGGATGCCCGGCTCCCCGACCGGTGCCAGATGACTCCCTCTAGGATCCTCGACTTCCAAAGCCAGGGACCCACTTCTGATCCTCGCCCCAGTGATCTCCGCTCCGCGACCGGGCGGTCAAGGCCCCCGCGCACGCGCCCCGGTACCGCGTGCCCGCCCAGCCGCCCGCGCCCCGGCCGCCGCGCCCACTCACCTGGCACAGCAGGTCCAGCGCGTAGCCGGCGCACGCGGCCCACACCGGGGCGTCCACGCGGGCCGCCAGGGCGCCGAAACGGTGGGCCAGCGCTGCATCCTGCTCCGGAGCGCAGCAGCCGAAGGCCGAGTACTGCGCGCAGAAGCGCAGCGGCTCCGGCGGCCGGAAGGGCGGCCTGAAGTCCAGGCACTGCGGGTGCGCGGCGGCCGGGAGCGCCCGCAACACTAGCAGCACCCGCAGCGCCAGCGGCGCCCCGGCCCCGGCCCGCCGCCCCGCCATACCGCCCGGCGCGGCCCGGCGCGGCCCGGCCCGGCCCGCGGAGGAAGAGGCGGAGGACGGCACCCCTGGCCCGGCGCAGCCCCCGAGCGCCGCCTCCCGCCTCTCCTGCACCCTCCCGGGGCGCTCTCGGCAAAGATCCGCCCCGCAGACTTCGAGTTTGGGGACCTCCTCTGCCAGGAGGTCACCCCTGGCCAGGGACACCCTGGCGCGCCGAGCGGACCGTGGCACAGTCTCTGTTCCCGCTCTGCTCGCAGCCCCTTCCTCCAGGCCCGGGAGCCTTTCTGAATTCAACGGCAGTGGCCGGGCCCGGGGGCCGCGTGTGTCTCACGTTTTCTCCTGGGCTCGGCTTCTTCCCCCAGGTGCAGGTTAGCCGGAGGGGTGAAGGGCTCCAGGGCCCAAGCCCAGACTCCTAGATTCCAGTCCCACCGCCTACTGGGCCAAAGGAGCCAGTGATCAGAAACTTTCAGGGAGCTGAAGTGAGGGCGTGGTGTAGGAGGCAGGCGGTGTCAACCCAGAGTCACAAAACGTGAAACCCGAGGATGGGGGCCCGGAGGTTGTGACAGCCCCCAGGTCCCACCCTTGGCCCTGCCCCAAGATTCTTCCCGTTCTCCCCTCCTGGGCCAGCAGTTTCCACAGAGCCCAGGGCCTACTGAGCCTCCTTCTTCAGCTCCAGATGGGGATGCCCCGAGGGGTGTACCTCCTGGGATGGGTACCTAGAAGCCCCTAATACACACATACTCTGCCTCATCCACCTCAGAATCTCACAATGCCAAAGACACCTAGCGCATCCCCAAGTGGACCTCAGCTCCTGCCCTCCCTGCAATGCCGTCCCCAACGGGCTCCATCTGGCAAACTCCTGCTTAGTCTTCATGGCCCCAAGTCACAAACCCACCCTCTCTGCAGGTTTGAAGGGCCAGCGCTGCTGGCGGGGCTGGGGGTAGATTAGATTTAGCAGGCCTGTGGGCTCTCAGGCCTGTGGCTCAGGCCTGAACAGGGGCAGGGGTGAGTTAAGGGTCTCTACACAAGACCAAACACCTCCAAGTATTTGGAACAGCAAATTTAACAGAGAATCCATGACAAAGAGGCCCCAAAGCCATACAGGGAACAATGTGGCAGCCTGGAATCAGCAGCAGCGGATGAGTCCACTGGTGTTCTGGCACTGGAGTCAAGGCACTGTGGTCACCTGGCCAAAGCCTCGGGCCTGTCTGGTGGAAGCTGGAGAAGGTCACTGTCAGAGATCATCAGAGACAGACAGACAGACAGGGGAAGGCTTCCTCCAGCCCTCAGCTCCTAGCAGTATTTCTCATTGGCCGGCCTGAGCAGGGGACAGCTGAGTGAGAACCTGGGAAATGCAGCCTTGAGTGGGGGCACGGAGAGCAGGGCAAGGACAGAGCCAGTAGGGTCCAAGGGCACAAGACCCAGGAAGGACACAGGACTGTTTCCCCTTCCCAGCTGGCTGTCGGAACAAGGTAATGGGACATCAACTCAGGGCTCTGGATGCGTGTGTTGAGGTGGAAGTGACACAGCCTGGGCCATAACCATGAGATTGGGGGAAGGCACAGTTAGAGGACTGCTCTCTGGTGTTCTGCTGAGCTCTCGTTCCCAGCCTACGGGAATCTTCTGGAGGTTTGTCGACTCATTCATTGGACAGGTGTTCATAAGCGACTGTGGGGCACTAGACTTGATACCCATGGTCCCCACCAGGCAGTTTCCAGATCTATGCCAGGTGCACTGGCTGCCTGACCCTAGAGGAGGCCTGCCACGTCGAGTCAGGGCAGGGAGGCTTGGAGCCCAGAACCCACCCACCTGGTGCCTCCATCATGGTATCCCCATCCCCAGGGGCTCCCCACTCCCAATAGGTCTGGGCAGCATGGGACACAGTGACCTTGTGTTGAGGTTCATATACACACAAGGGACCAGACAGCAGGAACTTGCCAGCACTGCCCTTAAAATCAGTGACTTGCCTTAGACCCAGGAGAGAACTAAGGTCCCAGGCCAACTGTCCCTGACACTCTGGAGAGACAAGCAAATCCAGCCTTGCAGCGGAGAGCAGCTGATTTTCAGCAGAGGTCGCTGGAGCCACAGGCTGGCAGGATGGCTTAAGCAGACAAATTGCTGGAGGCTGAGTGTGAGAGCCAACGACTGGGGACCATAGTCTTGGGGGCACACTTTTGTAGTTTTTTTCAGGACTGGGGATTAAAGCCAGGGGTGCTCTGTCATTACATCCCAACCCTTTTTATTTTTTATTGTGACATAGGGTCTCCTAAATTTCAGACTGGCCTCCAACTTGTGATTCTCCTGCCTCAGCCTCTTGAGTCCCTGGGATTACAGAGCGAAAGAAAAACCCCATCAGCAGGCACAGTGGTGCATGTGACTTGGGAGGCAGGAGGGTCACAAGTTGGAGGCCAGCCTGAGCAACTCAGAAAGACCTTGACTCAAAATAAAAAATAAAAAGAGCTGGGGATGTAGCTCCGTGGTAAAGCACCCCTGGGCTCAATCTCCTATGTTGCAGAAAAGAAGAAAAAAAAAAAAAAAGAAAAGAAGAGAAAGTAAAACCTGCGTGAACCCAGAAGTCTGTATCTAGCAAAATTATCCTTCAAGAGTAAAAAAGAAATGAAGACCTTCCCAGAAAAACAGAAGTGGGAGGATTCATCTGCTGGTGAGCAGATCTGTCCTACAAAAAACGGTTAGAAGTTCTTCAAGTGGAGCAGCACTGCTGTGGGTCAGACGCTCAGCGTAGGGACACGAGTGAGGAATAAGCAGTCGGGTGGGGGTGGGTCGGGGTGGGGTGGAAACAATCTGATAAGTTAGTTGCAGGACACCTGAAGTGGCATTGTGTGATTTGAAAGTGGATTTACATTAGTCAAAAATGTATATTCCCAAGTTGGGGGGTAAACTCAGTGGCTGAGCACTTGCCTAGCGTGTACAAGGCCCTGGGTTCAATCCCAGTAGAAAAAAAAAAAGAAGTATATTTCCTCTGTATTGTCCCCCATGTTTAAATAATTAAAATTTTAAAATATTAAAAATTCTAAAATTTTTTTAAAAATTATAGTTATAGGTGGACACAATACCTTTATTTTATTCATTTATTTTATATGGTGCTAAGGATCGAACACTGTATCTCACGAGTGCTAGGCAAGTTCTCCACCACTGAGCCACAACCTAGACCCTAAAATTTTTATAAAATTTAAAGTCTATTAATAAAAAATACTACAAAACAACCTGAATATTGCACATTCTTAGACAACTTCTATAATAATTTTTAAAGTTTTTTTGGGGACTTTGGTTGCTCTTTGCTATACAGGGGTTCATCCCCCAGCTCTTGAGCATGCTAGGCAAGTGCTCCACCACTGAGCCACACCCCCAGGCCTTTTATCTTATTTTGAGACAGGGTCTTGTTCAGTTGCCCAGGCTAGCTTCACACTTGTGATCCTCCTGCCTCAGCCTCCTGAGTTGCTACAGACAACCATGTGCTACTTGTAACTGACTTAAAATAATATTTACAAAGTCATTTGGGCTGCACACCTATAATTTCAGAGACTTGGGAGGCTGAGGTGGAAGGATTACAAATTCGAGGCCAGGTTCAGCAACTTAGCAAGGCCCTAAGCAACATAGTGAGGCCCTGGCTCTAAATAAAATATAAAAAGGGCTGGGGAGGTGGCTCAGCGGCTGAGCATCCCTGGGTTCAATCCCCAGTACCAAAAAAACCAAAAAGTCATTTGGGCCCGTAAAGCCTGCTCTCCATCCATCCTGGCCTGGACTGGCATAAGAAGGACACCAGCCCTACTTCATATTTCCCAAGTGACCCCATACAAGACTCTTCTCCCTTCAGCCTCAGTTTCCCCATCTCCTGAATGGGACGGAGTCACTGCTGGCCAGTCTGGGTCCCAACCCCTGGTCACAAGAGCCACATGAAGTCATGAGGGTCCAGCACCATTGCCCACATTTCCAGAAGCCCAGCAGGCACCCAGGACACACAAGCCAGACGATCACCAGCACCTCTCTAGCCAGACTCATGGGCACAGGCACATGTGCACGGCTTCTGCAGACCACATGCCTGCTAATTACACGGTGGTCAGCATCTTTTCCAGAAAGACAGGGAGGGCCTCGGGACAGCCTGTCCACCCACTGGGCAGCTCTTGCCCCATCCTGAGGGCAACAGCCAGGCATTGGTTGGTCCTTTCTCCCTAGCCAGGCCTCCTCTGGCCACTCCTGGCCCCAATGGGAGCATGTGCCAGGACTGCGTGCCAGAGAGTAAACTGTCCTGCCCGGCCACCCTGGCAGCTGGACTCCCTGCACCATGTGTATCAAGGCTGGGCAAGGCCTGGGGCCAGCAGAGGCCAGAAGCCCTGAACCACAGCCCAGAGCTTTCGTAAACATTTCACAGCCATGGAAAATTACCAGGAACAGAGGAAGGAACTCCAAGACTCTTTTCTGGATTTCGTCGATGGTAAAACTCAACCATGTTCCCTTCAGATGTCCGAAATCATTTCTAAAACATGAGGAGTTGATCTCTGCTGCGTGCACTGGGTTTTTGTATTTCAGAATACTGGATTTTGGTCCTGGCTCTGCAAGTCACTAATTCTGTGGCTGTGGACAGGTCACTTAACTCTCTGTGTCTTGACTTACTCATCTGGGGTCATTAAATGAGGCTGTTAGAAATATGCCTAGCCAGTGTGGTGGCGCACCTGATCCCAGTGACTGGGGAGGCTGAGGCAGGAGGATCAAGTTCAAGGCCAGCCTCAGCAACTTAGTAACACCCGTCTGTCTCAAAATAAAAATTTTAAAAGGGAGCAGCTCAATGGTAGAGTGCTTGGCCAGCATGTATCTAGTACCCGGGTTCAATCCTCAGCCCTGGAGGAAAAAAAAAGAGCTCTCATGCTGAACTTTTCTTTTTGTGACTTACTTCTGTCCCCTCAATCTGCTGGTGTTTGAGATTCATCGGTGCTGATAAGGGCAGGTCAGTTGCAATCCTCCTGCCTCATCCTCCTGAGCCACTG